GAAAAAAAGCTCCAAAATTTAATTTTATTGCTATCATCTAAACTTATTGCTAAAAATTGCTATCTTTAAAATTCATTAAAATTAGCCGTACAATAATCGAGAATGTGTCCACCAGAACAGTTTTAGCTACCCACCGCATCAAATTGTGTGCAATAGTAAACAATATTTCATTTAACCAATCTTTGCCGTGCCCTAAAAAATATAAAGAACATTATAAATTATTTTTTTTAAATAAACATCACTTTAAGTTTTTTTTATACAAACATTTAAAGAGACCCCAAATTTTTTTTTACTTTTCTGAGAGACTAAAAGACCACACTATAAATTCCATATTAGAATTTAAAGATGTTTTTTTTTTAATTTTTTAAATCAATTTTTTTTTGTTGAAGATAATGTCTCTGGAGACTATCCATCGATAACTAGAGCTTCAAAGTGAGAAATGTGAAGTGAAAAGAAGGAAAATGTGGACCTCACTAGTAAAAATTGATAACCCATAATTTTATTAACAGATTTTTCTGTCATAGAGTCTGCAGAGATATTTCTACGAAAACGAACTAGTATTTTGTTGCCATCTATTGGCAGAGAATAATACTGATTTAATTCTTTTCATCAGGATGTCACAGGCTACTAAAAATGCTAGATGTGGTAGAAACTATTTTTTCTTTTTTTTTTATTTAATTTTAAAATCGTAACTACCACCGTGATTAACAATGCAAATTGAAAATTTTTTTCTTTTAATACTAAACTGAGAGATATGTGCTTGAAAGAGTTACTAAAATTCATCTTTTTCAATAAGTTTGTGCTTTTTATTCGACATCACATTTTACATGTTTAGTGGCCCGTCGCATCTCTGCTGTAATTATTGTCGGCTGCACGAAATGTATGCATTTTTTGGCATAATTTTTTTAAAATGTGTGTCATTTGGTAAAATTTATTATCATTTGGTATTTTCAAAGAAGTTTTTTAATTTTTTTAAAAAAGAATGTTTTGACGTAATTTTTTTACTAAATTTGTTTTTCTGTTTACATTTTACTACTTTCCCTATCTCAAATCAATGTGCGATTTTCTATAGTTGGCTATATACTATCGTTACTGTAGACGCTGCAGAAAATATTTTATATCAAAATTAAAGTAAATTTGTCTTCCTGTTCTGATTCAACTTGATTATTTGCGTCATTCTGAAGCTATTCTTAGTTATATTTTAGAGAACATTTTTTTATTTTGCTTTCTGGGATTTTTATTTTTTATTTATTTATTTATTTTTTATTTATTTATTTTGTATAAGATTTTTTAACTGATTTAAAATATTTTCGTATCGTTCAATTCAAATCTGCAATCAATTTCTTTCGATAAGCTACAGTTTTTATTTATTTTTTTTAAAGTTGATATTTTTTAGTCTATTTTTCGTCTCAGTGTGCAAGTTTTAAAACATTATATATAACAGGGGGTCGTATAAATATTGCGAAAAACTTTTAAAGGAGTTAGGGCACATCCTCATGAATAAAATTGCGTAGGAACCCATACCCGGAAATGTCATCGTACGCGGCTGGGAGCGCTTTTCTATTATGACCTATTCAGAAACACACGAAGAGACAGTTCATAATAGGAAAGTGTCTGTAGGGGCGTATGATGACATTTCCAGGCATGGGTTACCAGCTATTCCAATTTGGTAGCTTTCGATAATATTATTGACAAATATAACAATTTTATCAGCTGAACTCTGATGAATTTCGATCAAAACTGACCAATTCTTGACGTTCTTGACATAGTAATTAAGAAATGGAGCTCCAACAAACAGAACTCTGTTTTTCGCCCATGGTTTCTTTATTTTGTCAAATCTTTAACTGAGTTAATATTTTAGTAGTCAAAAAATACTTTGCGAACCACCTTTTGATACTTCTATAGTTTTAGAAACCAATTTTTATCACATTCAATAAATGTTGCTTCACACTATTTAAACCCCGATTTTTGATCCTTTATGAACTTTGTTATCGTTATCAATTTTTACCATTCAAACTATTCTCTTTCAATTGAAATTATATTATATTTTCAGATAATATTCCAATGAACGATTCTGTCCACTTTAAGGTAACAAACTAGTTTAGACTTTTTTTTTAAATGCTTAGTTAAAATTTTAATTTTACGTTTGGTAAACAAGGGTTAAAAAATTATAAATTTAAAGTAAAGTTTAGAAATTTATTAAATATTTTTTTTTGAATATTTGCAAGTTTAAGCTTAAAAACTATACATTTTTCAAGTCACGCTAACAACTCTACAACAAATTGTAATGTATAAATTTCAAATACTTTTTTTTCAAGATCAATAATGTGATTACTTGTGTTTTGAACTAAAAGCTTAAAAAAATTTTAAAGAGACAAGGAAATGGAACTAAATATATTGTTTAATATGAATGTTTAAAGGAAAATTCTAAATATTCTTAAGGAGAAAATCTAAATATTCTTAATTAAAGCTTGGTGAAAATAACAAATTAACACTTAGACTTAAACTTTTGGTTCAAAACATTTATTACCTTATATAAAATATACATTAAAAATTTCAAAGTAAAAATTCTGTATTAACTTTTTCTTTAATTATTCATTTTAGTTTTCATTTCATAATCATATTTTACTTTAATAATCGGTTTTTAATTTTCATTTTATTATTCATTAAAAAACATTTTTTCAAAATTAGCGTTCTTCAAAAAATTCATTTAAAGTGGAAGAAAACTCTGAGAGCAAAAAAAAATTTATAATACGAAAGAGAATTTTATTTGTCTCAAAAATATAATTTATTCAAAAAAAGGGGTAGAATACTCAAAGAGTAATAAAAAAAAAAACATTTTTGTTTCGCTTTCGGGAGTTTACTTTTTATTTTGGTTTCGTTAGTCAGCATTCGGAAAAACTACTATAACTTTTTTTCTAGAAATCGAAAATCAAGAATTCAAAGATGCTTTGGGAAGCTAACCTATCTTCACCCAGTCGAATACCTCAAAAGGATATAACTTAGAGCAATGCTTTTTATTCCCTTTAAAAACTAAAAGTATGGTAAATTTTGTTATGCAAACTTTGATCTTCACCCAATCGGATAACGTAAAAGGATATCGCTTAGAGCAATACTTTTTATTCCCTTTAAAAGTTTGCTAAATTTTGTTATATAAACTTTGATCTTCACCCAATCGGATACCTTAAAAGGATAACACTTAAAGCAATACTTTTTATTCCCCTTAAAAGTTTGCTAAATTTTGTTATACAAACTTTGATCTTCACCCAATCAGATACCTTAAAAGGATATATATCACTTAGAGCAATACTTTTTATTCCCCTTAAAAGTTTGCTAAATTTTGTTATTCTAACTTTGATCTTCACCCAATCGGATACCTTAAAAGGATATCACTTAGAGCAATACTTTTTATTCCCTTCAAAAGTTTGCTAAATTTTTTTATACAAACTTTGATCTTCACCTAATCGGTTACCTTAAAAGGATATATAGCACTTAGAGCAATACTTTTTATTTCCCTTAAAAGTTTGCTAAATTTTGTTATTCTAACTTTGATCTTCACCCAATCGGATATATAGCACTTAAAAGGATATATAGCACTTAGAGCAATACTTTTTATTGCCTTCAAAAGTTTGCTAAATTTTGTTATTCTAACTTTGATCTTCACCCAATTGGATACCTTAAAAGGATATATAGCACTTAGAGCAATACATTTTATTCCCCTTAAGAGTTTGCTAAATTTTGTTATTCTAACTTTGATCTTCACCCAATCGGACACCTTAAAAGGATATCACTTAGAGCAATACTTTCTATTTCCTTTAAATTCTAAAAGTATGCTAACTTTCATTATACACACTTTGATATTTACCCAGTCGGATATCTAAGAAGGATAACACTTAGATCAGAAAATTTGATTCCTTTTAAAAGATAAAAGTATGCTAAATTTTGTTATACAAATTTTAATCTTTACCCAGTCGGATATCTTAGAAGGATAACACTTAGATCAAAACATTTTATTCTTTTTAAAAGATAAAAGTATGCTGAATTTTGTTATACAAGCTTTGATCTTCACCCAATCGGATGATACCTTAAAAGGATATCACTTAGAGCAATACTTTTTATTCCCCTTAAAAGTTTGCTAAATTTTGTTATTCTAACTTTGATCTTCACCCAATCGGATACCTTAAAAGGATATCACTTAGAGTAATACTTTTTATTTCCTTTAAATTCTAAAAGTATGCTAAATTTCATTATACACACTTTGATCTTTAGCCAGTCGGATATCTAAGAAGGATAGCACTTAGATCAGAATATTTTATTCCTTTTAAACGATAAAAGTATGCTAAATTTTGTTATACAAACTTTGATCTTTTCCCAATTGGATACGTTAAAAAGATATATATCACTTAGAGCAATACTTTTTATTCCCCTTAAAAGTTTGCTAAATTTTGTTATACAAACTTTGATTTTCACCCAATCGGATACCTTAAAAGGATAACACTTAGAGCAATACTTTTTATTTCCTTTAAATTCTAAAAGTATACTAAATTTCGTTATACACACTTTGATTTTTACCCAGTCGGATATCTAAGAAGGATAACACTTAGATCAAAACATTTTATTCCTTTTAAAAGATAAAAGTATGCTAAATTTTGTTATACAAGCTTGGATCTTCACCCAGATGAATACCTTAAAGGAATATCAATTAGAGAAATACTGTTTGTTCCCTTTAAAAACTAAAATATGTGAAATTTTGGTAAATAATCTTTGATTTTCTTGCAGTCGAATACCGTAAAAGAATATGACTAAGAGTAATAATTTTTATTTCCTTTAAAAGCTGAAAGTATGCTAAATTTTGCTATGCAAACTTCTTCCTCCAGTCGTATACCTTAGAAGGATATGACTTTTACTTATGTAGAAAATACTTTTTATTCCCTTTAAGAGTATGGTAACTTTTGTTTTACAAACTTTCTGTAAATTAATCAAATTTATTTCCTCTTTAGAAGGATGACTTATGAAAACTGCCCAGATCTTAAGATTGATGGAGAAGCTGTGGTTAAGGTTGCCGAGTCACCTTCAACTCATACACAAGCTGGTATTCCATTCTGCTTCAGTGTCCAGAATCAACAAAAGAATAAGTGTGCGAAGACACATCGTCAACCTGTGGTGTACCCATTTATTTTTGTTTCGTACATTATATAAATGTAATGTGTATATTTAATTGTACAGTATATCACTGTGTCGAAGGACGTTATTAAAATCATGCTCCCATACTTATTTTATTTTCAAAAAAAAAAATGTCCGAACAAAGGTGCTGAGATGAGAAATGATATTGGGAGGAATGTGAGTATGATTTTTATGTGTTTATGCACCGCCATTATGTGTAACATTTGAACAAGTGTCAGTGGTTGTTTATGTGTGTCTTTGTATTTGTCAGAAATATGTGTCGTGTTAAAGCAGTGTTGATCTCGCCTCAGAGTGTGACCTACACAGGGCATTATTTATTGATGAAAAAGGCAGCTTGGGAAGAGTTTAAAAAAGTTAAGAAAGTGTGATGGTTATTTTTATATCACAAAATTGAGGCAGATATATATATATACTACATATATACATATATAAATATAAATATCATTAAAGTGTCGAGCTTACCTTCATTGTATCGTATTTACCCAACCCTTTCCCAGATGTTTTCCACATTGTTGTCAGCTTTTGCATCGCCGTGTTGCTTAAAATAAGGAACTTTGGTACATGTCTTTTGTAGTATATACGTTTTAAAGAATGATTGATTACCGTTGGCGATAGTGTATATTTGAATTCTAATTTTAATGTTTATAAACATAAGGATTGCTCTTATGAAAAGTGAACACTCTCGATAGTATCGGAAATATCGAAGCGATTACGATGCCACACTTCAGGGCTATAAATTAAGATATAGGAAAAGCACTGCTGATTGCATGTAACTGAATAGTCATTTCGCGTGAGAGCATTCATAAGTGTGCTACGTTGTGCTAAAATGGATGCGTCCAAAATGAAATAACGCGGAATAGTATGATTTATATTGGCAGACGGTGTGTGTGAGGCAAATCTTTAACACCAAATATATTCTGTTCATTGCAAACACTATCCTAGACAAACGACTGTGATCTAATGATGTAAAAGTTTCTGTGAAGATCGCGCATCACAGTCGATTCCGGTGTTACGTAGGTATAGGAAATATATATAAGATATAGGAAAAGTACTGCAGATTGCGTTTAACTGAATTGTCATTTCGCGTGAAAGCATTCATAAATGTGCTACGTTGTGCTAAAATGGATGCGTCCAGTATAAAACAACGCGCAGTAGTACGATTTATGTTGACAGAAGGGGTGCGTGATGCAAATGTTTAACACCAAATATTTGCTGTTCATTGCAAACACTATCCTAGACAAACGCCTGTGATCAAATGATATAAAAGTTTCTGTGAAGATCGTGCATCAATGTCGATTCCGGTGAAACATAGGTTTAGGAAATATATATAAGATATAAGAAAAGTACTGCAGATTGCGTTTAACTGAATAGTCATTTCGCGTGAGAGCATTCGTAAGTTTGCTAAGTTGTGCAAAAATGAATGCGACCAGAATAAAACAACGCGCAGTTGTACAATTTATATTGGCAGAGGAGGTGCGTGGGGCAAATGTTTAACACCAAATGTTTGCATGCAAACACCATAACCTCCCATGAATTCATTGTTTCTATTGATAAAATTATTAGAAGTAATAAAAGGGTTACGATTCATGACACCTGCTCAGAACTTTATTTGACTTGAGTAAACTAATAGTGCAATTAACTTCAATTAAAAATCGTATTAATTCGCATTGTTATTTTTTGGACGAATGCTTCCTAAATTCTATGCTACATTACCATAAGATGCTCTCATATTAACTGGCTAATCAGTGTGTTGTGCATTCTTCCTAACTTCATTTACTACACTGAAAGGCGGCGCTGCATTCGCTCATGTATTTTTAACACTATCACACTTGTTTACATTATATTTGGGCAACCCTTTCATGGAAAACGTTTTGAAATTAATCTACGTCATTAGAATTTCAATTTACCGATTATTATTTTATTTATTTATTATTGTTACTTACAATAACTTCTTTAATTTCTTATGGTACACTTCTTTATCCCTCATTTTTTGTAAGCACGTATTAAGCACACATGAAATTGCGAAATGAATTTGTTGAAGTGTTAATCTTTATATTAAATTTAATATTTTGACTATTTTATCATTGGCAAGAATGCAACTTGTGGAATGCCATTTTAATTCAAACCCGTGCATTTAAATATTATTACGGAAAGTTATTTTGCCACGGAAAAATTGCCTTTTACTAATGGAAAAGGTCTCTACTAGTTGGCATCTCTGTCAATTAAGAAAAAATTAATTTGAAATTATGCAAACAATGAGTTGAGTTTAATTAAAAGAGTATGAGTTAGATTTAATTAAAAGGATTAAGTTTTTCATTTTTTATGCTTGTAGTCGTCAGGAAAAGATTGAAACTTGTCTTGTAGATAGACGCATAGCTGCTGTTAGAGTATGATCTAGTTATTGGAAGAATGCCAAAATTCAATTACTGTAGGGAAAAGTCGGACAAAAACAAATCCCTTACGTTTACTTTTTTTCCCCTTAACAAATCTCGCTTGATCTTAATTTGTACGTGTTTCGCAAATTAAATTATTTGTTCAGATTTAAAAATAGAACTCACAAATAAAACTTTGTTCACTTTCCTCTACGATATTACAGGCTTCATCTGCCCATTTTTACAGTTGAGATTCTGTATTCAATTTTCCGGGAATCGAAACTTGGACTATTGTGGAATAGAGCTAATCTCTCATATTGCTTAAAATTTCTCAGTTTGATTCAAAAGTGCCGTTCAACAGGAGAAAAAAGGCTTGGTATATTTTAAACGTGATGTAAAATCTGTTTTAATTGAAAACAATAACTAAAAAAATGCGTAATTAGATGTTTAATCTCCCAGCAATTAAGAAAAGCACACAGAGAAAAAAATCGTGGTAAAATTATCGTACTGTATAATAACTGCATTTCTGGCAAGAAAAGAAAAAAAAGCATAATTTTGGTTAATGAAACCAAAATGTACGGTTTTTAAACCATTCACTTTGTAATTTTTCAGTTCATGTGGTAACGGTTTACCAGGAATTCTAATTCTTAAAATTGTAGTTCTGATTACCACACATTTAGTAAAAACTACAAAGCTGAAAAATAAATTTAACCGGATAAATAGTTTTAATGGCATGCTCTAAAACATCATGATAAAATTTCCAAATTTTACCACATTTATCAAATTTTATCACCTATTATACAATTTTTTATTGTTACCGAAATACCGCTAAATATTTTATTGTTGCAGAATCATTACCAAAGTGTTCTGTAAAAATTACCTGGCTTTCGTTGTTGCCATGGAGCCAGAAACAAGGTAGTGTTTACCATATGCTAGCAGTTTTAACTGTACTATCTTTTCTCTGGGCAGAGTTTAAAAAAAATCATAACTTTTCTAATCGACATTTTGAAAACGATGGAGTCGACAAACAAATAATCTACAAATCTTTTGTCTACAACTAATTTCATGTAATTTCTGATAAATGGCAGCAGTATTTTAAACAACAATACCTAGTGCTTGTATTATCCACTTACCCAGTTTAGTTCAACTCTCCCCTAAATTTATTTTCTTGGTAATATCGCGATAACTTCAGTTTGTAGTGGTCAGCTCAGGAAACGATTGAAACTTGCATTGCCGTCAGCTACAGAACTCCAGTAAAAATTTAAGTGCTCTAGCTAGTCGGAAAGTGATCGAAAATTCGTTTATAATATTCCAACCTCACATCTTTAAGATTTCTTCATATGTTAGTTGATTTTATGAGCAACAATTTTTTAAAAAAATATATCTATTGCCGGTTAAATGAATGAATAAATATTACAGTCGATCTATTACGAATTTTTCAACTTATAGTTAACTTAAAGTTTAAAAAAAAAAATTCAAAATTGTGTATGTTATGGTTTTTTCCGCAGCATCTTAATTTGATCAATAAATATTACAAAACATATGTACCTAAGTTCCTCATATCGAGTCACTGTTTAGTCTGTTTTTTCTTAAATAATATCTTTTTTGGCACATTTTTGTGCTCCCTTTGAACTTTAAAAACTTTTAATTTTAATTAGTAGTGCTATTTTTTTTCGAATTGTCTCAACTGTGATATCATATAAAAAAAACCTTTAGGCAATTTTTCCATTGTTTAAAAATGAATTTAAAGGACATATTAATCATTTCATTTAAATTAATTTTGTATCTCCTATGTTCATCTTTATAAAATTGAAGAGAACCTAATTAAGAGTTTATTGTTTGATCAATTTGTTAAAAAAGATTAATAAATTGATCAGTTCATAGATTGGCGAACTGAAAAAAATGCTTATTTATCTCGCTTATTTTTTCTTCCTTTGTTTGATATCTTTGCTACTTAAATTTAATTTATTGCTTTTTTTTTACATAAGTACAAATATATTTTCTTTATTGTTTCGTAAAGCAAACTATTTAAAAGTCATTTTATTGATTTGTTGAATGGACGCATTAAAGCAAAAAAAAAAAATTCAGAAGCAAAAATTTGAATATTAAGAAATTAGTTATTTTTATTTATCCAATTAGAAGAAATACAAGATGTCATATATTATCGTAATTAAACTCTGATGGAAATTATTATCCAAAAAAAAGCAATGAATAATCATATATTTTCAATTTTGAGGGAAATCATTAATTTAGTACTTGGGTACATTAAACTATCATTGATGTATTTTTTTTAAAAAAATCATGTAGCTTTTTTCTCTTAAAAAAGCATATTAGTTTGCTTGCATTACAAAATTAAAAGATAGTTTTAAGAAATGCTTATTATATTGATATTTATTAAAACTGTACATGATTTTTTTTTCTCAGAAGTACATTGGAGCATTATGGTTTATGAAGATGAATTATTCTAGCGATATTTAAATAACTTGTTAAAATTGTTACTATAAAAAGAAAAAGGTTTATATCGAATACTTTCTGAAATACTGATTTTTTTTTATTCAAATCTATTAACAAATTTAATAAATAAAATGAAAGGAAAATTATCTTTATTAGTGGCCTCTTAAATTTTTGTTAAATAAGCAGAAAATGTTTACCAAGTTCAAATATTTCAAAAATTACTTTAAGTAATAAAATATTTGTAAGTTATTTCATACCTAGTAAACAGTTTTAAACACCGCAAATTTAGTTAAAATAATTGAAAAATTTGTGAAATTATTTCTTTAATCTTAAGTTTTGAAATCTCTGTAGTAAAATATTTATTTTTATTTAAACTTTTTTCACTCATTGTCTTTTTATGCTAAACAAAATTACTACAAAGAATTTTAGAATCAGGCAATGTTTGAATTAAAACATATCACAAATAAATGAAATTCTTTGAGAAAAATCTGTACATTTAACCAGTTTTGGCTGATTTATACTGAATTTACTTATAGCTTTTTATTGTCTTGTAGTTTCATTTTATACACCTTTTTGATGAATGATTTTCAATTTAATAAATACTTTGCTATCTGAATTTTACACATCTCATCTGGTTTTAAACCCAAGTAAAATCTATTATTACATTTTGTGTTTTTCTAAACAACGTTGCTCATGTTACTTTAGTAACTAAAAGAATAAAACTGTAGCCCATGAAACATTATTGTTCTCATTTTGTAATTACAAATAAAAATATATATAATCTTTAAAACTAGATTGGAAATAAAAATTGAATGTATTCATTGAACATCAAATTCAATAAAGGAATAAAATCTTTTGAACTCAGCTCATTAAGGCAGTTTATACTCCAAAAATCATCAGAATTCATTACTTCTTTGAATCACCCCATTTTAAAAAATTTATAAAGCAAAATCACTCATGTGTCGTAAATATTTAATAATCAGTTTTAAAAATAAAATTCAAAGCATTTCGGTTTCCAGTTTTGGATCCTTTAAAATTATGAGATCCAAACTCAGGCCACTTGTTTTGTTTGTTAATTCAACAAATCGCGTGCAGGGTGCTCCGTATAAAGGCACTTAATATAAGAATAATATACGCAATTGGGAGTTTCAAATTATTATTTAATTGAGAAAAAATACGGAAACACTATCGAAATTGAACAAATACTGATAAGACCGAGTATATTGGAAATCAAAACCTGTTTGATAGCCGGTAGAAACTTGAAGATGTTTCAGATAAGCGTCTTTCAATTCTTCCCTACTTTGATATATGATTATATTCGAACTAATCTGAGTCAAACCTAAGATTTTTAAATAGAATCACTTGCCTCAACTTATTTTGAAAACTTTGCTTCATTTGAATTGCAATAACTATTCACTTTGCAGAATTCTATCAAATCCCAACTACAATCAGATATTATAATAGTAGCAATTAAAATTAAGACTAAATTATATAAAGTAGAACACACGTGCTACGCTCATTGCATCTCGGGCCGACTAGAGCTCTAAGTAAACCTGGGCTCGGACCTCCAAAAGCGAGTCCAATCTCCAGATGCATGGTGGGCTTTAAGTCACCTCTGAGAATCTAAAAGCTGTCTTACACGGGGACAGTGTCTTTGATCACTGAGTCATCGCTGTTCTAAACCAAACTGTTAATGACACAGAAATTAAACAATTAATATTGTAACTATTCAAATTGAAGCGAATTTATCAATGAAAAGACTCAAAGAAGCAATTAATATTGTTTGAAATAGTCATCTTCAAGTTTCAGTGAATTCAGATTTTCTCTTCTTTTTTTTTCCGCAGGTTTTTAATTTCTTTAACAACCTTTAGTGGGCTTTAAACCACCCCTGAAGATCTAAAAACTGTCTTACACGATGACAGCTCAGTGCCTTTAATCACTGAGCCAGGGCTGATAATACTTGTAACTATTCAAATCAAAACGAATATTACAGTGAAAAGATTCAAAAAAGCAAGTTTTAATATTGCATTAACCCTCAAGAAGCTAATGAGCAATGTTGTTGATCATTTTACTTAAAAAAGTCTACATTTTTTCGAATTAAAAATAATGTAATTTTTGTTTAAGAGTTTATCAAATCGCACATGTGTATTTCTTCGATAATGTTTGTGTTTTTATGTTTGTGAAAGGATGTGTAAATATATTTTCACGTCAGAAATAGTAGAGTATTTTACTTGAATGTTTACCAATAAAAAAAATCTCTATTGAATATTTATTTGTTTACTCCTTTTAAATTATTGTCGTGCACCTGTCTTGTTGCACAGTTAGAATCACAAGATGTAATAAAATGGATCCGATATCAGTAAAATGTTTTCGAAAAACTTGTTGTTATTTTGTTTTTTTGATCTATGTTACAGATGGTATGTTTATGAAACCTGCATTTAAATACAGATCAGACACTCTATGAACCTACTAAGGAAAAACATCCTTACCGACTTTACTCTTAGTATGCCAAGAGAAATTAATTATTACAAATTTGAAAAGGTGAATCGTCTTTGTTTGAATGACGTAACTATTAAGACTTTGCCAAACGAACAACTACGGG